TTGAATTTTTTCAAAATAAATATTTGCATTATAAAATTTATGTACATACCGCAACATGCATATATTAAGTACTTACATACAGCATTAACACAAATTGACCAAACAAAAGTAAATAAAAGAATATATTTATATGTAACAAGAAGAAGAGAAATGAAAATGCGAGTGAAAAAATTGACGCATGTAAAATAAAAATTAGAGAAAAAAAATTAATTTGAGAAATAAGAAAAAATTGTACAGTATTTATGCTTAATACTAGAATAATTAATTTAATAAAAGTAAATATATGTATATTTGTTAATAAAAATGAAATGTGGTTAACTAAAAATTCGAGAAAAATTTATATTAAAAAAAAACTCATGTATTAAAAGTTAAAAACATCCCTAAAATGACATTTTATTTTTTTATGTGTATGTGTAATTTTGTAAACAGTAAGCCCTAAATATACATACATACTCACATATTTGCATACAAACATCTCCAGCGCTAGGCATTGTGCACAAGAATAACAAATAAATATAAATTTTATCTTCCCAAAATTATATAGAAAAATGAAAATAAATAATGTAAACAAAATAAAAATTATTTAAAATAATTTTTTTTAACTATAATAATAATTGTTTAAAAATAATAATAATATTTTTAAAAATAATAATAATTTTTTAAATGATTAATAATAATTTTCAATAATTTTTTTTAAAAATAATTAAAAAAACTACTTAAAACAGAAATAATTATTTCGTAAAAAAAAATAAGTTTTCTTATTGAAAAAAAATAAGCGCTATAAAATATTTATTAACATACATATATCGCTTATAACATTTATTCATGTATATGCGAGACATTTGCCACCAAATACTTATATACATATATACATACATACATACTAAATCGTAAAAGCTACAAATTTTCTCAAACTCTCTCACTCACCGCATTCTAAACGCTCCCCCAACTAATTACCAACATCTTATGCTTTATACCAAAAATTAAATAAATAAATATTATAAATAAATATATATACATATATATTAACAAAAAAAAAAAAAAAACAAAAACAGCTATAAAATGCTATTGTATTGCAATGAAAAAATATATAAACAAATAAATATTTATATATATAATATATACATATATAAATATGTAAACCAAACGTACAACATATATAATATAAATAAAATGTCATAAATGAAAAAAAGAAAAATATTTAATTATACATATGTATACATATTATACATACATTCTTACATATATATACAAGTCAGCATCATGAATACCATTACAAAGAATTATAAAAAAAAAATTAAAATTAAATAGTAAATAATAAATGCAATAATAAATCATTTATAGTTAATATCAGTCAACGCTATGTACCCATCATTAACATATATACATACATAAAAAACATATAAGCATATATTTACATACCCTAATGTTCATTGTCATTGTCAATCATTATACACAATCATTGTCATTATCACTAACATCATAATCACCATAATCAAGCATTTGCTATGTTATCAGCACCTAACCAAGGTAACCATTAGACTAGACTCATTATTAAACAATATATTTATTGTATATAAATACATATGTTTTTTTTAATATATTTATTTAAAAATTTAAATTGTTGCCGTTTTACAGACTATGTATATTTATCCAATTATATTATTTACTGTTAAGCTTTTTTATTTTTCTTTTCGGTAACATTAATTGTCGCTTGTATGTATAAGGTCTGATGACCTTACAGCGCTGATTTTGTAAACTTTCAAATCTTATTAATCGAGGGTTCGAACATTCTATTTTTTTTTATCAAATGGCGCTAGCTTCCAAAAAATTCCTTAAAAAGTCTAAGCAGCTGAGCACATCTTGGAAAGTTCTGGAGCCAAGTAGAAGCTTTTGACTTTCATTCTTGCCATTGATCTGAGATAATACCATAATACAGCTGGAATCTGCTTAAATTATAATTTTTTGTTTGATTATGCTCTGCATATTTTGTTATTTTTTTTTAATTTTTTTTTATATTTCTTTTTTTAAATTTTTAAGAGGAAGCTGCCCTCGATAATTATATTCCACTTTCGCGAGATACTTGTAGTTGTGGAAGAATTCATTAGATTCTCTATTAAGAGTAATATTAACCTTCCCTCTCGTATATATTAACCGCCATGGCGAAGGTATCGAACTATGCCGAAGTGGTATGAGAATCTACCTCTACATCAACGTTACGCTTAGGTTAACAAGCTTCAGATAAATCTTCAACCAACTTCCCTTCGAGAGAAGGAAGGCACTAAGTCCAAGGAAATTAAAAATGGCAATTTAAATATGAGTTTGGTAGAGATTTTTGTTGCGGATCATACTTATTAAGCGCAGACGGTCCAAAAATATTTTATTTTTTATTTTTCGCTATTTAAATTTTTTTGTTTTTGTTTAAAGATATTGTAAATGCACTCCTTAATACTGTTCGATTTGTTTAAAGATGTGCTGAATGTGCATATATATATTTGAAAGCAATCAGCAACCAGCATATAGTTACCAAAGTGAACAAACACACTTCACTTATATACTCGTACATATAGTATATATGTGAGTAAACGTAAAATCTAACGGTATATAATGTATTATTTATGGAACTTGATCAATATAATGGCGTATCATACAAAGTATTAATAAATTTAATTAAAATAAATTACAAATTAAAATTTATAATTTACAAAAACAACGCAATTTATTTTTAAAAGCAAGAAATTAGACTGTAAACAAGAACAGTAACAAAAACAATGTAATGGCTTTATTACAATATGATTATATTGAAATAAAAAAATGCTAAATAAAATAAACAAAAACATCAATAAATTAGCGATATTCCATGGTGATCATAACTACTCTTAAGTATAACTGTATAACTGTAAAAAAATGATTTGCAAATGAATTGTGCAGTTTAATGTGAATTCCCATTTTGCTTACTCTATAAGCTCAAGTCGGTTTCTGCGTCGTTTTGATTCTATTTTCATTTTAAGTAATATTTATTAATTATTTACATACACATAATTATTAATGATAAATATGTATGTGTGTACGTACTTACTATTATATTTTATAAGAAATATTTGTTATTAGGTTAAAGAAATTCAATTAAAAAATAATAATGATATTCATATTGTGTGCGAGAAAAATGTGACACAAATAATAAATGGTACTAATATTGAGATACATACATACATATTAATAAAGATATTTAATATAATGTACAATTGAGGTGAATAAGAAATCTTAAATAAAATTAATTACAAATATTATGAAAAGGAGTTTTCACTTATGCAGAAGGGGAGTCTGAAGGAGAGATTTTTTTTTAATTCTTTTTTTTTTATTTTGCACGAACTTTCTCTTTAAAACCAAATTTCCTGAAATTGGCATCATTTTCCTTAAATAAGTACTTTAAGTCAGAAAGTGTATAAATCAAAAGCTTTCTTTAGTACGCTGAAAGCTTTCATTTCTTAAAATTTATAAACTTTAAGGCTTGCTTTATTTTATTCAAAACAATAATTAAATTTTTCTTACTATTCTTCATGTTTTTTCTTTTATATTAATTCAGTTAATTTTATTTTATTCTAACTCGATGAGCTTTTCATTCTATTTATTTATATTATTTTAATTTTTATGTAATTTTATTTTAATTTGCTTTAGAGCATTTTGTATTAGTTTATTCGTATACCAGTTTTTTCTTTTAAAGTTTTTATTATATTGTTTTTAACGATTTTTTATTAAATTAAATTTAATTCACTTTTGCTTTATTTATTTTATTTTACTTTATATTTATGGCTTTATTGCACTTCTTTTTAGGTTACATTTGACGTATTGGTTGTTTTCCACAATTTATATAAAACTAGTGCTAAATTATTTACTGATATTCACATTTCTTTATTCAAAAACGAACGAACAGTTGATATTGTTGGTAATCTTACCGATTTTTGAATACTCAAAAACTTTTCACTTAGTTGGAACCTCTTCAACGATTCCAGCAATGTTTTGGCAACCACTCCTTTCGACGAAATAATAATCGCCACAACTATATCATTATTTTTTCACTTTTTTTATTTTATTTTATTTTATTTTATTTTATTTTATTTTATTTTATTTTATTTTATTTTATTTTATTTTATTTTATTTTATTTTATTTTATTTTATTTTATTTTATTTATTTTATATTATTTTATTTTATTTTTATTTTACTTCATTTTTTTTTTACTTGATTTTCTTTTTTGTTTTAATCTCATTTTAGTTGAATTTAAATTATGTTTTTATTTTAGCTTAGGTTTTTTATTTTAATTTAAGTTATTTAATTTTTTTATTAGTTCATTTTATTTCAGTTGTATTAATTTTAATATGACTTATTTTTATTTATTTTTTCATATTTATCTGCTTATTATAATAAATTTTTATTTCATTTTATTATATTTTCATTTTCATTTCATTTTTTAAATATATTTAATTGAAAAGCGTCTTCTTCAAATACGTAAAATGGCTCTGCCACGTTCAACATAATTTATCGCCGTATTTCAGCCTTTACTTTGTTACTCTGCTTCGCCTCTTCTATTACAAACAAAGCAATACAACGTGATTTGTTGACATTTCCTTATTCGCATTCATGCTTTTCCACATTTATCAGCCATTTGTTTTGCTCACATTACACGCCACGCGGATATGCTCAGTGACCACCCCAATTTGATGGCGCTCTATAAACTGTCTCTCTTACAAGCTCTCGTTCGCTCACATATAGCTTGCATTGCTTGGCGCAATTGTTGATTTAAAAGTTCCACATACTACACGTACGACCTACACGTACATACAAGGATGACGCATATTTTGCACAACAGCTTTTCGTCCGCTTTCTTGCTGTAACGGTTGATATTTTGAATTTTTCGTATTCCGAAGATTCCGAAAAAGCTGCGGGTCGGATATAATTTAAATTTGCCAAACACTCTGCTGTGGCTGTTGCTGGTGTTCGTCTCGCCTCGTCGCTGTCATCGCCGAAAGTGTCGTCATCTTCGGTTTAGCTGCGGCAGCGACGGTGTTTAGTGCATGAAAAAGAATATTCTGTCATTTGAGTGTTCAGTTCGAGACGGGTTTGCATTTTAACAACACTGACTGAAACGGTACACAGTGAATAGCGCGTGTCTTAAAAGTATTCAAACTAAGTGAATAGTAAGTAAAACCAACATTTACTATAATAAAAAAATATAATTAAAAATCGAAAACAAATAGTTTACTAAAAAAAATGTGTGTGTTCGTGTGAAATAACGGCAGTGATGGCGGCGGCCAAGGTAGCAAAGTGAAATGTACGAATAGCTTCGAGGCAGACAAGCAGAAAGCAGGCGCCTATACTAGATGCGCCTCAAGAGCTGAAAATATTTATTAAAAATATAATATGAAATTAGGTGAAAAATAAATTGTTGCTATAATTTTTTTTTTACTTTGGCATAAAAGTGAGTAAAATTTGAATGGTGTTTAAGTGAAGTTGTTAGTTGATAATTGCAGCAAGTTTGTGGAGTTCACTGAATATAATATACTATATGTAGTGATGAAGAAGCATTGAAATTTTTGTGATTTTGTAATAACTAGTGGACCTCAAGGAAAGTGCTCGTGTAAGAAAAAATTCGGGCTACTCAAGAAATTCGCACAATGTGTGTGCGGCAAAGAAAAACCAACTAAGAAAATATAATTAAATTCAATAAAGAAAAAAAATAAATTAAATTAAATATTTAAATTAATAGAAATATTTAAATACTGTGCAGTGGAAATGGCTTTATGAAAATATTAAGAAAAAAATTACTTATTTAAAAATAAAAATTTTGAATAACCATTTAACTGAAAATAAAAGCTAAGAATAATTAAAAATTATAAATATAATTTAAAAAAAAAATTAAACTTCCATTATTAAACTCTATTTGGGCCATTTAAACAACTTTCTTCTACGTGCTGTCATTACGCTACTTAAGCAATGCCAATTCGTTGGAATTGACTCAGCGTGATACAACTCAAGCCACAATACTAAACCAACAACAACTATAAGTAGAGTAAGCATTTTTTTTGTTGGTTAGCTTGTGTTGGTGTTGGTGTTGGTTGGTGTTGCAACGTCGTAGTGGAGTGATATATGCAGGCGCTGGCTGGTTATGTAAAATGTGAAAATCGAAGTTGATTACTAAGCACAGGGCACAAGGCTGGCAAGTGACTTCGAACAAAAGCAAAACAAACCAAAATAAAAAAAAAAAACAAAAAAAGCAAAAAATGGAAAAAAGGAAAAAAGCACACAATCAAACAAAATACAAATAAAAAAAGAACAATCAACAAATTTCGTTGTTAAGTCAAAAAAGAGAAACGGGGAAATGGGTGATGCATATGACTAAGGAGGAACCACACAACACTCCTGAAGCTAATTAATTATTATTAATATACTCCAAAAAAAATTTTTTGGCTACTTTCATGTCAAGCTCAAAACAAAAAATTTCACTAACTTTCAGTTGGAGTTTATTTTGATAGATATGAAGCAAGCTGGCTCCAAAGGCATAAGAAAAGTCTCGTTACGACTGAAACCTTAATCACATTTTTTTTTACAGAGCAAAGAGATTTATTTCTTGAATCTGCTTAATTCAAGCCTAACAATAAGTTTTAGAATCTCAATAATCAATAAATAATTATTTTCGTCCATTAATTGCAATGTTGCTCTTTAAAATACTGACAGATCACTTATGCGAAGGCGAGTTTGACTTGCTGGTCAGAATAAAATGCTTGCTAGAGAATGCGGATGTTTCTGCAGTTTCGATAGGTATTTTTGCCATGTGTTTCTCACGCCTATGTCTACCATTGGTTTTTTAAGGTGTCTATGTATGCTTCCCTTACGCATATATCAAGGTGCACCTGTAAGGGATCGTAGCGTTTTTGATTGGAATCACTGTATTTTATGTATATTAGTTGCGCAGTCAGAACCCGAAAATTGTATTCCGTACATCCATATTGGCTTTATGACAGAATTATGTAGAAGGATTTTATGATTCAAGCATAATCCTGAATTTTTACACAGTAACCAATTTAGGCCGGCGGTTTTAAGTTTGAGGTGGTGTATTTTTAGCAGAAATATGACTCTTCCAGGAAGGTCGCCCAGCTAGGTGGATGCCGAGGTATTTAACTTCGCTTGCTTGTCGTTTAATTTCAGTATTGGCCATGCTTCTGTCTTCAGAGTGAATGTGCATTGCTTAGAATTTTGCTGGTTCACTTTTAAGCGCCAGCTGGACAGCCTTTCAACGAGTTTTAAGTGATTTTCTAGTATTTTTGAGGTTTTTATTGGGCACTTACTCCGACATAAAATAGATACATAAAATAGCAGCGGTATCGTCTGCGAATGTTGAAGTTAGTAGTTTTGTGGATGCCGGAATGTCTGCATAAATAAGACCGTATTGATCCCAAAATGCTGCCTTGAGGAACACCAGCCATGATTAGACACTCTTCTGAGATAAATTCCTTTTCTTCAACAGTAAACCTTCTAATAGGAAGGTATGATTTGAAGATTTGATGGTCATTTTTTGACAATTTTAATTTTATATATAAGTCCTTCATGTCATACTTTATCGAATGCTGAGCAATACTCTTTCACCTCAAATACCTTACCGGGCTCATTGGTGATGCGATGGACTTGTTCTATAGTACCATGTTTTTCGCGAAAACCAAATTGTTGGTTTGATATAGTTACGTATTCGTGGAAAAAGGAAATATCTCGGATAGCAGGAGTTTTTTTTTATTATCACTTTAAAACCTGAAATTTCATGTTCGCATTTAGATTCGGTTCGCTTGTCCCCAGAAGTATTGCTGTAATAAAATGCACAATTTTTATTACTGTTATTGCTGGACCTTAGATGACGAATGCAGTCAAATTGCCAAGAACCATAAAACGATGCATTTTTACGCTAAAAGAAACATAATTTTAGGGTGTAAGTTATTAGAAATCAAAAAAAAAAATTATCAAATTAAATGTCACTGTTTGTAATGATGCTTTGGAAAGTGCTTTCAATAACATCTGGCGGAAAGCAGTTATTACTGTCCTGGCAAGCCTGAATGTCGATCTTATGATGTTTCATTTTATTTAAGCCAATTGCTTGGTTCTAGTGTATTGATGTCTCAGCTCACGCGATTATCAGGTCAGGAAGGAAGCCTGCAAAATTAGAATGTTTTTAATTCTGAGAGTTTTGAATGGCCTGCGTCTCAAAAAGAGTGGCGAATTCCCACAAATTTCGTATGAAATCCTGCTGGGTGGTCTTAGACTTATAGAAAATTAGACTAACATTCTTGAGTTAGGCTGAAGACGATATGTTTTCTCTTAGCCAGAAAGAAAATTAAAAAAAAAATAAATTAAATTATTAACTTTAATGCTTTAATGCGGGCTATGAGTACTCGCAGAAGTCCGCTTGGTCTAAAATGAGGTTAAACTAGCGCATTGGTTCTACAGTGCAGTTGTTGGAGCTACACTTCTCTACTAAGCATTGGTCTGATGACCAAACCCTGAGAAAAAATCTACCATTCCTAAATTCTAGCGCAGATGATAACACTCTTATGAATTAGTCCGCGGCACTGGCGGCGATGATGAAGCTGTAAATGGTTTAGGTTTTGTGGTGATCTTCGATAGCCAGGCTGATTTAAGAGCTTTAAGATGTGTAGTAATAAAATCACAAACAGCAGATCTGCGCATAATGCGATGGCTTAACAGTTTTCTCTAAAGCATGTGTTGGTGGTAGATCATTAAAAACTAGTAATTTTGGCATATGAGTATGAAAGCTCACTACTTTCGCCTTCCTAAAAAAGTTTTTTAAGTCGCATTCAGCAAAGTTATACAATCGTATAGTTGGCTCGTTCTTCAGGCGAGCTCTTCTCCCTACTGGCGTTATGCGTCTTGATGTATTTCCAACAAATGGAGGAACCTTACAGTTTATACTAAGCCACCTCAAAACGGCTGTTGTATTTTTATAAAAAGCTTTTATTTCACGTCAGAAATACACACGGGGAACTAAACATAACCCGACGAGAGGCGAGCGTAATTAGAAAAAATAAAATTATATAATTTTGAATACGGATCAAGCCTCAAAGCATGGCAATCCGAACAGTAGTACGTACTGTGACCTCTTAGGCATATTTTGAGGTTTCCACATGCCAGTCGTACTCGTACATATTTTCATTAACATTTGTACAATATATATGTAAATTTTATGTCGGAAAAGATCTTAGGTACAGCCAGCGAGCTATCTGAGCTACATAGTGAATAATCCATAAATATGATTGGTGTAAATGCATAGAAAAGTTAACCGGTGCCACACCGAATGGTTTTTTTTATGGGTTTTATTCAAATTTGATACAAAAACTCCTTCGCAATATGAGCTTGCTGAGATGATGAGCTTTTGTATTCAAATAAAAATTTCAAGAGTTTTTTTTTCAACAACACTTTTTCGATCAAATTACTGGGGCAATCATCACTCAAATAATGTTTTTTATTTACCAGCTGACCGATTGGCGAGAATTCCAAGTGCGTAACGCTGTGATAATCAAAGAAAACGGTCAATATTGCCTCGACTTTGGATCGTGCTCGATTAACTTGGAAGACGCCATTCTGGAACTTTATGTTTGCTTATGAAACTCGCAGAACCATATTCCATCACTAGTTACAATGCCTTTCATAAAGGTACACTGGAAATTGTCTCCTGACATGTGCGATCTTCAGCGATCTTCACGTTATTGAGTTTTGCAAAACTCAGTTCTTCCAGAACTAGTAATGAATTTCATACCCGAACATGCGTTTAATATCTTTCAAACTAAAATGACGTTTCTCAGTCACCGCTTTCTTCCCTCTTACCATGTTTACTTCAGTTAAAAAAGACTACAGTTAAAGTTGGCCGATTGAAGTGGCATAATGTATGTAAAGAAATTCCAAAAGAAAAAAAAAATTTAAAAAAACTTCACTTAGCTCCAAAAAAAAAAAAACAAAAAAAAAAAAAAAAAAAAAAAATATATAACAACAAAGTTGCACAGAGTATCAAAAGAATTTAGGAATTTTCATGAAAGGTTATTAGTTTTATGTGAGTTGTATGATGATTTAAAACAAATTTAATATCTAAAACGCAAAATTTTATTTTCTCAACTAAAGTAAAATTTAAAAAAATAGATTTTTCGATTTAATTAATTTTAATTTTTCTTATAAAATATATGTGTGTAATATTTTTAATTGATGAATGAATAAATAAAAGAGTGATAAGTTGAGTTTGCTAAATAAAAAATACCTACATGAATTTCATATTAAGTCTTTAGTAATCTGTATGTAAGAAAAATGGCAGTTTGTAGTAATAAAGATAATGGGGATATACTGATGATTTAAGGGGTTGCATAGGTCTTGAAGACA